AGTTATTTTATTAAAAATAAGGTCAATCTTGATGGTCAAGGTCAAGGGTAAAAAAAATCATAGCAAGCTCGTCTTGTTACACGTACAGGCATTACATGTCAAATATGAAAGCCTTATCTCTTTTCAATCAAATGTTACAAGAAAAGATAACATTTTTGAAATGTAGGTCAGACTTCAAGGTCAAGATCAGAGTATAAAAAGTCAAAGTATATATTTAGAAAGGCATTTGCAAAGGTAATGTACATGTGTTATACGAAACCTCTTTTCCCTTTCAAAATTTTTGATCAATTTAAAGTACAGAACAGTACAGTACATGTAATGTTAAATGTTTTGCAAAGTAGGCCAAACTTCAAGGTGAAGGTCACGGGGTCAAAAATCTCAGTAAATTTGGCAAGGTCTTGTCATAGGTAATGTGCATGTGAAATATGAAAGCCCTATCTCTTCTCATCCAAAAGTTATGACCAAGGTTAAAGTTTCTGTGACAAACGGACAGACAAATGAGATTCAATGTCCCCTAACTTTCGCTAAAGTAGGGGGGGGCAATAATGTGCCATGCTTGAAGGAGTGAGCATCTCCTACCGACCGGTCACACAGAAAATTAAAAATACATAGGTTATATACTCTGTTTATACTTTAATTTGAAGACTTTACGACCATATATAGATCTTATCGATAAAAAGAATGCGCATAAAATGGAAACTTGTTTAGACATTGAATAGATTATCTGCCGTGCCACTTGCAGTAAATTTGGTTTCGTCTTGTCACTGTATTGATGGACTTTGGTGATTTATTGGAGGCGAGATTTGTTTTTTGTGGACAATCGATTGATAGCTGTCAATCACCAAGTGTCGGGACGGAGTCAATTTATTGAGGTCGAAAAAGACATGAATATCATGTAGAATAAGAATAAATTAGTGGTCGCGTGAGATTCGAATTGAGACAACTTTATTTATCAAAAGAAAATACATAACTATTTTAAAAAAAATTAATAGTAAACATAGTTGATGTATGAATGAGAATTAGAAGAAAAACTGCTTGTCCGATACGTATTGGAAGTAATTTTTCGATACGATATTTTTCTTGAATATCGATACGTATCGATATATCGATATATTGATACAGCCCTAGTGTTAACCCATGTTTCATTTATTTTCACTGAGACATTTTGACATTTCTAAAACATAACTGTATAATAATAAACATTGCAAATGAGAAGTTATTTTGGATTTCCTTTGACTATTAAAAGAAGTTCATCCCTGAAGGCTTTGTTGAAGAGTCCATAGATTAGTGGGTTAAAGGCTCCGTTCATGAAGTACGCAGAGTTTGCCATGACCACAACTTTTCTTGTGTTATCAGACAGGTTCTCTTCGATTAGAGGGTCGATTGCGTTAATGCTTTCCACTACTATAGTAGGGATGTAACTCAAAACGTACAAAAGGGCTATCAAACTAAACACAACAGTTGTAGCACTTATCCGGACATCGGATTTGCTTCCGTGCCGCCGGAGTTTGCTTCTAAAGTTTAAAAATTTTACTTTATATTTCAGTTTAATTTTGCTTTCTTCGATACTCATAGACCCGTTAATGACATAGTCCTGTTTAGGCTTTGTATCGGCCTCGTCTCCTAGGTTTTCTATGACTATCTCGTTAGATATGGTTGTTTTAGACACATTATTTTCAGTATAATTGTTGATTGTTAGACTGGACACTGTTTTTGTCAAATCTGGTAACACTTCTTCCTCAGTCTTTTCATCAGAATCTGTGAATCCTTCATTAACTATTCCAGCAGTACATGAATCATTTTCTATCGCGACTTCATCTACTTTTTTTACTGCTAATTCTTTCATTTTATTTTCATTTTCCTCATTTTGTGTGATGCATGTTTGCCTAGTTTTATCTTCACAAATTTCACCAGAACATGAATGATTACAAGTTTTGCTAAACATGGTATTTGTGATACTAAATGGTGGATTCTCTTCTCTTAGATTTGGAACGTGCTCCTTTGTTTGTCTTCTTTGTTTCTGGGAGCAAGAAGATACAGTTTTAATACTGTCTGACAAAGATCCCATTCGAATGTCTTCGCCGACAATTCTATGCTTCCATTTAAGAATTGCAACGAAAATTAAAGCATATAAAACAACAATCATACCGATACAAGCAATGATAAAAATGAAAAGGATGATAAAATAAATTCCCGGATACACAGATCCTTTAAAGTTGTCATCATCCGCACAGTCTTGTCCCGTAATATCCCGATACTTCGTAGTAACAACCTCCGATCCATGAAATAACACCATAGGCCAGCTGACAAGGACCATCACTATCACGGTCCCAATAATTAAGTTCCTCACGCTCCTCATCGAAAGTCTTTTAAATGGTTTACATATTTTATAGTAACGGTCAAACGCTATCCCCACTAAAATGATACTAGCACCTCCATTGGCAAAGACTTCTAGACACCGCACTAGTTTGCAAATTGCAGGGTAGTTGCCACTATACATGGGTAAGCGCTTGTCGAAAACTTCAAAAATTAACATAAAGCAAGTTATTGTGTCAAAAGCAGCTAGACACACAATAAATATATTGGCAGTGGTCCTCTTAAAACGAAATCGGAACACGTATATCACCAGCGAATTTCCAAAAATCCCTACAATAATGGCGACGACGTAGAAGACAACAGTGGGTATGTTTATGTGGTACAGGTGCTCGTTCGCCATCCACAGCAGGTACTCCTGGGAGACAGAGGTGTTCTTGATTGCTTCCACATTCTGTTTTTCACTGGAGTAATCCACGTTTAATGAAATATTCACCATTTTGTCATGTTACATTTCTACACCCGGCCTGCTTGTTGCGTTATCATGTCATTTCCTGGTCTGTTTCATTTCATTGACATTATCAAAATGTTTTTCTCAACGAATTTTTGCGTTACAGTTAACTTTTTAAAATCTTGTTTACCTTTAAAATTAAAAACTTAAATCGCTCATCCAAATAAACGGGCTTAGTATAATGTGCATTTCTGACAGTGAAAAGATTCGATCCGGAATAGGATATAAATGCTGGCTTTTAAAGCAATGAATAACAACAATTGCGTGTCGCCAGCGTGCACTACCTTCGTAAGGAGGCCGATATTACTCCGTGATCACGTATGATGAATGTAAGTAAAAAATGATAAACCACAGTCCGGTACACATTGCTATGCTATTGTCATGGATCACTGGACAGATCAATAGAAGGAAATACTCTCAAATGCTGGAAATTTTATGCATCATAACTTTCAATTTATAACCAATACTAAAAGTAGAAGATTGTTTAGTGATGTAATATGTGTTCTTTTTTTATCGTCAAAAGTGTCAAGTGCTGAAAATTGGCCATGCACTGAAAATGAAAATAATATCAAGAAAATAAGTTTAGAAATTTAGAATGCTTTGTTTCATAATTATAAAAAACAAACAGTATTTAAGTATTCCAAAAACTAAAAAAAAAATCAGCACAAGTCTACAGCCTATTGCAAGTCGTAGCAAAACAAACCCTATAGCACTGTCAACGAAAATAAAGAGGGACAAATTTAAACGTAGTTAAAAGAAAGGTAAAGTAGGATACGTTAAAAGTTCATTTGAGTCCTTTAAATTCAACTTCATTCACTTAAGTGGGTATATCCGGGTAGGTGTAATGGACTAGAACATTTCTCATGCTCTTGATGACGACTTCTATCTTACAGGCGAGTAACCTCACTTCTGCGTTTTATTTGATATTTTTAACCTTAGCTAATGAACAATCAACTCTTAAGTTTTGAATTCTTGATAGTTTGTGCCAATATCTTATTCATGTTCACAATGATCACTTGGTATAAAGTTCTTAGTACTGAATTGAAGTTTTATTCATATATCTAGGCACAGAATTCAAACTTTTGAACAAGTCAAGGAATTCAATAACAAATATAAATCAGCAAATTCAAAGAATTGTTTCCCCCGTTTGGGTATTTTAATGGATGCAATGCAACTGTTTATGGCATATTGGGTCAAATATGATACCCCGATCTTATGTCATTCAAAAGTATTCGGCAACGTTTTTTCTTTAAATTTGGGTCTAACATGTAGATCAACGGTCAAAAATCATAGAAAGCAGGGACACATCTTGTTACAGGTAATGCGTCTGTCAAAAATGAAAGTCCTATTTCTTCTTAATCAAAAGGAATGAGGAAAAAATATCATTTTTGAAAAGAAGGCCAAACTTCAAGTTAGATGTAGCAGGGTTAAAGACATAGTGTATTTAAAAAGGCCATGTCACAGGTAATATGCATACTATATAATACGAAAATCCTATCTTTTCTGTTTTAAAAGTTATCACCAATTTTAAGTCATGTTAAATTTTTCGAAAAGTTGATCAAACTCCAATGTCATGGGGGCAAATATCAAATTATATTTTGAAAGGTCTTGTCACAGGTAACGTACTTGTGAAATTTGAAAGACCTATCTTTTACCAATCAAAAGTTATGTCCAAGGTTAAAGCTTTTGTGACAGACTTACTGACAAGCAAATGAGATTCAATGTCTCCTCTCTTTCGCAAAAGCGGGATACAAAAAAGTGACATCAACAAGAAATGGATTTTGTTATATCTTGGACCATCTTTACTCTGCCCAGTTGTAAAAATTAATTTAATTGATAGATAGAATTGAGATATATGACAGAACAATAGTGCTTTAAGCCCAAAACTTGGAGAGAGATGTACAATATCGAGACTCAGCTGATTACCCAATTTATCCTTCATTATTTTTAAACTTCTTAAAGCTTGTTTTAAATTGTGATACAAGTTCAAGACATTGTTTCTTAAAAGTAAAAAGCATTAATATTTACGATAATATTGAATTTCAATCTTATCCTAAAATAAGAGCTCTTAAAAATATTTGTTTCAATTTTACTTCGACATTTCTTTTGATTTCCATCAAATCATCAATATAAACAACAAACAATTACAAATAGTGAAATAATTTTTAATTGTGTTTTATTTGAATTTGTCTGTCCAAATTAAGATAATCTCATCTCGAAACTGCTTATTAAAAACACTGTATATAAGGGGTTTGAATAAAAGATTCATGAAGTAGGCTGAATAGGCTAGCACCATGAATTGCTGGGCTGTGGTTGACATCTCTTTCAGGTTGAATGGCTGCACTGCATTCATACTCTCTACTACTAGGGTTGGAATATAACATAACACATAGATTACTGTTATCAAGCAGAACGTTATAGTTATAGATCCATCGTTTTCCTTTGCACCACTATTTTGTTTATTCACCAAAGTATTTATGTTTTTAGTTTTTAGTAAAACTGTATCCACTATTTCTTCTTCGTCCACATTTAATGCTAGATGCCTTTGGGACACTTCGTTTGAATTATCCTCGGGTTCAGAAGGTGTGACTTTGGGATGTTCATCACAGTCAGCAATTGAGAACATGAAGGACACGGTCTTCTTGGGTCTATCACTAACCTGGAACTCTTCCTCTGCTTCATATTGACCACTAAGATACGCTATAGCAGATTTATTTAGCATTTTGTTGTTGTCTTCTAACTTATTTTTCAGAATACCCCTTAACGGAATAGGTGTATTTTGTAGTTCTGTCTTATTTTGACTCTCTGGGGTTAAAACATTTTGGCTTCCATTTGTAGATTTATTTTGTTCCCCCAGAACCACGAATCTGGACTGGTGTTTATTTTCGACTGTCCTACGATCAGGTTTCTGTTCGTTAGAATTATTTTCTTTTCCAAAATTTTCAGCCATGTCCGTAAAATTGGACTGTAGTCTCTGTTCAGTATCTGTTCCTGACTGTATTTTTCGAATTAAACTTATGTTTGAAGATCTTTGAAAATGATACGAAGTATTAGAATACCATATAGCCGAATCTTGATTCTCTTCAATAGCTGTGAACTTCCTTTTCAAAAATGTCCAGATAACAAAACAATATAAAGCTAGCAATACAACAATGCAACAAGATATTATAACTAAAATGAAAATGAAATACATTGCAGAATAAAGCGAACCTTTAAATTTATCATCAGCAGCACAATCATTTCCAGTTATTCTAGGATAGTGTGTCACCATCGTTTCCGAACCATGAAATAATAAGGCGGGCCAACTAAAAATCATGGCAGCTACAAAACTTGCAATTAAAATTTTCTTTACTTTTTCAACTGAAATATGCTTGTGAGGTTTGCATATTTTGTAATAACGGTTTAATGCTACACATATAAGTAAGATGATAGAAAACGATTTGATAAAACCTTCTATAAAGCGAACCATTTTGCAAAGAGCTGGATAGTCGCCGCTGTACATCGGAAATCTCAAATCTAAAGTTTCCAATATTAAAAGAAAACACATGATTGTGTCAAAAACTGCCAGACAAGTTACAAATACGTTATCTGTTGACTTCTTAAATCTGATTCCAAACACATATATCACAAGCGAATTTCCGATTAAACCCCAAATGATTGTAATTATATGGATGATCATAGAAGGGCGATTAATCTCATATTGTCTTTCATTAGATATCCATAATAAGTACTCTGCAGACACATTGGAGACAGTGGTACTTCCATCTTCAATGGTGTCAGCTATCGTGATGACCATGGCACTTATACTCCAAGAAAAAATTAGCCATGTTGGGTTCATTGTGATTTCATTCTAGCTCCACTTCCTGACGCGGGTGTCAGAGAACTACTGGTATATGTTAGCTCTGCCTCTTTATAAAAATCTGTAAAGAGAAGGGAGATAATTCATACGTGTAAGGTATCAAGATTTTTCATCTATCTATCTCTATTTTAAAAAAATAATCAATAGAATTAATATAATAAACTTATGATTTAAGGAAATCACAAAGAACAGTAAGCAAGTCAAAGTTTAGTTTTAAGAAGTGAATTCTTATTCACGGAGAGCAGTATCTACTTACTATTACATACATCCAAATAGCTACCAAGTTGAGAATGGGATCCATCTTTAAAATATCGAAGTAGACGTCTGTGCATATTCTGAAATAGAGAATTTTTTCGTAAAAGTAAATTATAAACCTAATATTTCCCCCTCGTATAAAAGTGTGATGACTCATCTCTTGTACGTTACTTATGTTTACTAAAACCTGTTCAGATTTATATACCTAATCCATATCAATGATCTTGTATCTTATATCATAATGTCATATTATGGATGAGTTTTAACAATTTATGTCAAATTAGAAAACAAAAATGAAAGATTTAATATTTTGATCTTGATTGTATGCTTGTACTAAGGGTCTAGACACACGCAAACAAACACAAAAAGAGTAAGAGATATTGAGATGAGAATCATTCATGTGCAGTAGTTAAAACAATCATAATCCAAATTTTACTTGTATAACAGTTTATTTGAAAATGAAAATCAGTTTTATTTTATATCTCAGTTTAAGCTTACCTGCCATGATATCTGTAATTATTTCCTGGTGTTTACCGACAAGGACGTAAACGAAACTCATCCTGGTATACTAAGCTGCTACCTCCATTTTACATTTCCAGGATGTATCGACTAGATTTAGGTTAAAGACATTTACTAGAGATTCATACAGACATATCAATTAAAATCTTTATATTAAAAATGTGACTACTTATTGTTGATACTCATGACACAACAGATCGCAAAGATGCATTGCACCATTGATATTACCTTTTCGCAATAAATAAGTTAAGATAACGGAAATGAAGAAAAGAAAAAAAAATCATTCGAATTCAAAAAATATTTTATATTTTGAACACACGGAAAAATTGTTAATTAAAATAATTATTAATTAATTAATGCAATGCAAAATATGTGATATCTATATATCACATACATGAATATTGATAAATAAACTGATAAATAGCAGCTTGTAGTACAATATAAACATGTATGAAAGTTAATTAAAAGGATACTTTAGATATCGATTCTAATTAACCTTTTGAAGAAAAATAAATGACACCACAATTGTAGCACTAGTTCTACCTGAGATTTTCGAACTCTATTTATGGAAGTTACTATTACATCCACTGTCAGGTATACATTTGGTGCCAGAACATCTGTCGCCCGTGTGCAGGCACCAGATTTGTTCCCAACAGTCCTTAAAATCTCTGCCAGACTTTGTTATATATATATATATATATATATATATATATATATATATATATATATATATATATATATATATATATATATATATATATATACTTTGCGAATATAGAATACATGTATATTTGCCTTTATGCCATTATTACCCCTTTATCCCGCGGATATAGCTCATATGATATCGTTTTCGTATCAAACAGAACAAAGGGTTTTGCGTTAGCGTGATGAAATAAAATAAAGTGTGTAAAACATTGATTGTGAAGTATTAAAAATGGGATAAAAATATCTTATGATTTGTAGTTGGATATGATTTTTATCCAACTCGTTGTATGTTTTTATCCCATCACGAAGGCTCGATGATAAAAAAAAACATATTGGATAAAAATTATATTCAGCTACAAATCATGGGAGATCCTTTATTAATCGCACTACACAACAATTAAATTGCTCAACTTTGTACACTGGCAAGTTGTTGCGTCTCCATCAGTGAAAAATTCTCGAGAAGGACGTTAAACGACATGCATACAAACAAACAAACAAAAACCACCGAAAGAGTCCATGATTGCATATTTATGAACTCTTCAAGGGTAAAAAATGGTTTGTTATTCACCAAATAAGTATCAATATTGAACGAGGAAAGGTATAAAGGAAAAATCATATATTTGTTCAGAAATGTATGAAATTTAATGTGAACACTTATAAATTTGGTACCGTGGAAGGCTCAAAATTCAATTGAATCGAAATTGCTGATATTAGAATCATTTACTTAAATTATTTTGATTATGAATTTATTTCTTAAATAATTCGAATATACAAGTATCACATTATCAAACATAGCTATTAATGTCATGTTCACGTTGTCATTTTATTAGAATGACAATGTTCTTGGTTTCTGCAATATTGTTAAATTATAAAACCAAACTGGTTTATAGAATGCATACAAGTATAGAAAAAAATTAAGCTATCACAATCATGATAAAAATCAAATCAAATATAATTGAACAAAAATATGATCATACACTGGATGTCTATTGCGAACAGAAAATACAATTTACTTTGCTTTCTTTCTTACAATATGTATCACTTCACTTCGAAAGAACTTGTTAAAGAGGCCATATATAATAGGATTGATGGCAATATTTATGAAATAGGCCGAGTTACAGAACACGATAATTTTTCTTACCGACATTGAGAGTTGTTCTTCATTGATAGGACTTAAGGCGTTTATGCTTTCTACAACTATTGTTGGAATATAGCTAAGTATATACACCAATGCTATCAAACTAAACATGACCGTTGTGGAACCGAGTTTAACCTTGACCTTTCCACTCTCTCGACGAATCATGTATCTTGGTTTAGAGAAACTCTCCTTGTTTTCTTCTTTATTTTTTATATGGTTTGAGTTTTGCGGGTTAGCTAGAGTGTGTATAGGAGTTTCCATGTTTTCCGTTTTTCCCCTAGATTCCCTCTCTGCTTTGTGTTCGTTTGAGAGGCTGAAGTTAGATTTGTCTCTATTACTAGAACATAATGTGAAGGCAGATATGCTTTTTGTGAGATCAGAAAACACCTCATTTTCCTTCTTTAACGTGAAGAAATATCTTTTTTTCTTATGATCAGATTTCTTTACGGAATCATGTCTTTTGGCCACATCGTCTTCATCAAAAACAGAATTCTTTTTAGTCGATTGCCCTTTTCTATTGTTTTTCTTTACACACTTGTTTATATGTTTTGAAGAATGAGAAGATGGTCTAGAATTGTTTGAGGTTGATGGAATATTTTCTCCAGTTAAATTACGTTTCCATTTCAAGATATTGATAAACACTAAAAGATACATGATGACGATTTCTGCCATACAAGAGAGAATAATGACGAATAAAGCGAGGAAATAGATCCCGGTGTACACAGATCCTTTAAAGCGATCGTCATCAGCACAGTCTGTTCCTGTTATGGTAGGATAAATAGTTGTAACTGTTTCTGGGCCGTGAAAAACTGCCATGGGCCAACTGAGGACAATCATTGTTATTACTATTCCCAGCATGCTCTTTTTAACTGTTCTTAAGGACAATCTCCGCAGAGGCTTCCAAACTTTGTAGAAGCGATCGAAAGCAATGCCTGCCATAGTAAGACTGGCGCAGCCATTGGCAAACACTTCTAAGCATCGGACTAGTTTGCAAATTTCAGGGAAGTTCCCACTATACATGGGAAAACGTTTATCAAAAACCTCGAAAATTAACAATAGACAGGTTAGAGTATCAAACACAGACAAACTCACAATGTAGGCATGCACAGTCGACTTCTTTAAACGGAATCCAAAAACGTAAATAACGAGAAGATTCCCAAATAATCCAAAAATTATCAACAGTATAAAGATAACCACAGTGGGCTTGTTAATATCGTACAAGCGTTCATTCGCAATCCACAGAATATAATCCTCGGGAATATATGTATAATCAAGGACAGAAGTACTTCTGTTATTTGTCATCTTTTTGTTCTTTTCAAAACTTTTGAAGTTTTCATTTTCTGTTGACTTTCTGGGCTTTTCCACTTATGTTGGAAGAAAAAAATTAAATACAAAATATTACTTCACTTTACTTGAGTGCATATTGTATAGGCAGGTAGTTTAGAAATGCTTTTAACAAAACTATTAAAGGAGCAATATAAATTTTCCAGGTACAAAGGAAACTATGCCAGAAAATTTCGTTGTCTTTAAATATCTACTAAAATATAAACAATTAAACAACATAAATATGCACCATCCTTTCAAACTATTTTTATTTTACAAAATGTGAATTGCCATCTCTTATTTCTAGGTGCCTAGTTTAATATAAATTACATTTTCTCTTTTAAAGTAGTAAGTGAAAACATTTACTAGTTGGCATTTAAAACTTATCGTTGAAGGAAGAAAAACTTCTTTAAATAAGAGAAAACATTTTGTCTTGACATACTATAAAATTTAAATACCCGTTCAATAATTACCTTAGTGTGATGGACGTGAGTTTACACTTAATTCCTACTAAATATAAATGTACAGAGTGGTAAATTATTCTCCTCGTGTCTTCATACAATACATAGATCCTGTTTGATATTTAGTAAATACTGTACTGTTTGACATAATACCTTAAGCTCATTATAATAAGTGAACATTTTGTTTTAGGAAACATGAGAAATATTTAAGCACGGGATATAAAGTCACTGGAACCTTCTGAAAACAAAAGTTGCGCAAAAGATTTCATCCCTGCTCTGATGAGAAATTTTGGATATATTTTTATTATCTCCATCTGTGTGTCACACTATCTTATCATACATTTTTAGCACTAGCCAATTAATCTTCAGGTGATGATCGGTACCCTACAATATGAACAAAGGAAGTTTTGGATTTTTTCCTTTTCATCTGCTAGGCCGGTTAGAAATCGGAAACCTCTTTGCATTAAGGAACAGGCCTGATGGGGTTTTGTGTACGTGCAATGAGGTTTTCGAGTTTACAGGCCCGCAACAGGGCCACAAATGACGATTTATTACAAACCACATAGGGTGAATTCACCATGCATCGGATACCCTTGTACTTTAACAAGTTCTAGCGATATCGCTACCGATGGAAAATTATCAAAATGGAGTTTAACATTTAGTTTGTGATTAAAATAACAATTTAGGACACAATTATATGCCGTTTATTGAGAAAATATCCCCAAAAATCGAGTTTTTAGAAAAAACTGAAAATTCACCATGGATCGGACATTGTTCACCATGCATCGGACAGACGGTATGGAGGCCGGGAAATATATTACCTTTACCACAGTGCTTTAAAATCCCTGATATGGATATATTTTCATCTTTTATCTAAGAAATATCCCTCAACTTTAATTTAATCGACGATATTATTGCACAAATGTAGAACGATTCTCGAGACCAGAAACTGATAATTGATATTTGGAATAAAATTACTGGTTTCCTGCGTATGAGCAACAGGGCTTTTGAGTTTTTAGCTCACCTCAACGAAGTTGGGGGAGCTTATGTAATACCCTCGGCGTCGGCGTCGGTGTCGGCGTCCACGTCGGCGTCGGCGTCCCAGGTTAAGGTTAAGTTTTTTGGAGCAGTTTTCTTTTTAAGTACTTCTATGTCCTATATTGATTAGACATGCATGGAAGATGGTTCTAGTGTGTTTCATTGTATCAGTCAAAGTTTCAGATGCTGCAATTTCAGCAAAGGAATGACCAGGTTAATGTTTTTGGAGCAGGTTAACATTTTTGGTGCAGTTTTTGGTGTAGGTTTCATTTCCAAGTAACTATAATCCCTATGTTGACCAAACTTGCATGGATGATACATCTAAGGATGGATACTACTGGGTTTGCTTCGGATGCTGAATCTGACCTACATTTTCCAGTTGATTGAACAGGTTAAAGTTTTTGGTGTAGGTTTCATTTCCAAGTAACTATAATCGCTATGTTGACCAAACTTGCATGGATGATACATCTAAGGATGCATACTACCGGGCTTGCTTCGGATGCTGAATCTGACCTACATTTTCCGGTTGAGTGAACAGGTTAAAGTTATTGGTGCATGTTTCATTTCCAAGTAACTATAAGCCCTATGTTGACCAAACTTGCATGGATGATACATCTAAGGATGGATACTACCGGGCTTGCTTCGGATGCTGAATCTGACCTACATTTTCCGGTTGAGTGAACAGGTTAAAGTTTTTGGTGCAGGTTTCATTTCTAAGTAACTATAAGCCCTATGTTGACCAAACTTGCATGGATGATACATCTAAGGATGCATACTACCGGGCTTGCTTCAAATGCTGAATCTGACCTATATTTTCCGGTTGAGTGAACAGATTAAAGTTTTTGGTGCAGGTTTCAATTCCAAGTAAGTATGAGCCCTATGTTGACCAAACTTGCATGTATGATACATCTAAGGGTGCATACTACCGGGCTTGCTTCGGATGCTGAATCTGACCTACATTTTCTGGTTGAGTGAACAGGTTAAAGTATTTGGTGCATGTTTCATTTCCAAGTAACTATAAGCCCTATGTTGACCAAACTTGCATGGATGATACATCTAAGGATGCATACTACCGGGCTTGCTTCAAATGCTGAATCTGACCTACATTTTCTGGTTGAGTGAACAGATTAAAGTTTTTGGTGCTGGTTTCATTTCCAAGTAACTATAAGCCCTATGTTGACCAAACTTGCATGCATGATACATCTAAGGATGCACACTACCGGGCTTGCTTCGGATGCTGAATCTGACCTACATTTTCTGGTTGAGTGAACAGGTTAAAGTTTTTATCAAGAGATGAAAATTCTCAAATTTGCTTCAGATGCTGGATTTTGATTACATTTTCATGAAAAAGAACTAGTTTAAATTTTTTATGTAGGTCTATTTCAAAGTATCAGATCAAAATTGCTTAAATATTTTCATTTTTGGAATGTACACTTTTTGTTGGTTAATTGTGTGAATTTGCCTTATTTAAAGACAACATTCGTTGAGGTGAGCTCTGTAATCTCTGATTACCTATGTTTATCTTCATCTTGTAGCCCAGTAACAACGATGCTTTGGTACTGTTAATTTCTCCAGAACTCATCCATTTTTACAGAAATGGGAAAAATTATGAACATTAATTGTTCTTCAAAGTCCATTTAAGAACTACAACATCCGGTTTGGATGAGGTGACCCTGAGGAGTAATCATCCCCTGTTGACCGGTCACACCCACCCTGTGATCCTTGTCATGATCGGGTACCGGTCACACCCACCGTGTGATCCTTGTCATGATCGGGTACCGGTCACACCCACCGTGTGATCCTTGTCATGATCGGGTATCCGAAAAGCCGTTTATAATTCAGTATCAAATATGGTCTAACAATTTGCATGAAAAACATCAGTCAACATTTGGTATGATGATAGATGCTGTTGCTGACAAGTCATTGTATCGATCGACAATATAAATTACGAAATATAGACTTTAAACGATGGTCTTGATAACAAATGCAATTTATCGTAAAGTCGTGTGTCTCAATTTTCATGGGTACCAAGTGCCACCGGCCCATTAATTATAAGCAAATATATTTTTGAATTTGAAGCAGAATTTATTTGCAAACATGTGCTGTGGCCTTCAACTCGATATACAGATATATCGACAAGGTATTATCAATTAAGAATAGTTACTTCCATTCATAAGTCGATTCGATATATCGCCGTGATCTTTATTTGAAAGACCCCATGGAGGCTGACACAATTGTTTTATATTTGAACATTTATCTAGAAAAAGACGTTTGTTTGAAGCTAACAACAAAACTTTATGATAAACGTAATCACTACACGTTTCCCTAATTATGTATCAAAATACCTTATCACCAACATTTGGGGTTACGTCTCCCAGTCCATTCGATATGCAAGAACATTCGCTTCTTACATGATGCAAGCTATTTATCAACAAGTTGATGAAACAAGTATATCAACAGTTTCGTTTGAAGGCATCATTTTGCAAGTTTTATGTTCGATACTATGAACTGATCAACGGATGCAATCTTTCATGATGTCGTATGATGACAAATGTTTTGTTATACTAATTGTAAGACTATTTTACACACTGAAATCTCTACGGATTTTTCCTTTTACCTGATCATGACAAGGAGCACACTGGGATGTGACCGGTAGACAGGAGATGCTATCTCCCCCATGGCACCTAAATTCTCTGCTATTTTTAGGTCCATGTTTTTCCTACTCCCGCTTTGCATTTTACAAATAGACTTTAAGTTTGAATACTTATTGTTATCCCTGTTTCATTGTAAGAGTTATTGCACATGTGACTGTATTGAAGATGATTCACTTACATGGTAAATTTGTTCAGACTACGCTTACAATAGAAATAACCCTATGGATTTTCATTTTCTTCTTATGATGTGGTATGAAAAGATTAGACTCGCCCGTTGTCTAATTTGAAAAATTAATGATCAACTTGTATTTTATCAGTCACTTAGTAATTTTCAAACTTTATTTGAAAATCATTCTTTTTAGACATACAATCTATGTAAATATTTTAGAATGAATTCTCATTTTTCGTCCACCACACATCAATAATCTTATGCAGTATTTTGATTTTATATTCTTTTGTGCAGAAAGACACTTCCATTAACATCTGATTTCAGTTACATTGGATTTGCTACTTGCGTATATATTCTTCTGCGCATAACATATTACATATTTTATTTTCTTTCATAGAAATAATTATATGCACCTTAGATTGATGAAGACCTTTTTTCCCTTAAGTCTTTGCAAAGAAATGCACATTGTAAATCAACCAAAGTCACTACACTGAGCTGAAAACTGTCTAAAACGGTCTCTGCTCAGAAGATGAAAATGAGGGCGTATGTAACAAATTTCCTTCTTTATAAATTTTTGCTGCAGAACCAGTGTAAAAGATGTGGTATTGTTATCTAAAAAGGACACGCCTTTTTACGCTGCAAAGTGTTCGGATGGATTAAAAGGATCCAAATAATGGGTGGTGTTACAAGTTTGCAATTAAACTGGACAATCAAAATCTGTTTGGACACCAAATTAAAAGAAAGAATAAAATAAAAACATTTTGCTTATTATTGTAAAGAGAAGCCAGAGCTCTCAACATAGAACA